CAAGGTCAAACTGATGTGATCAGTAAATACATCTTTTTAAACGCCACAACTTTTATCTGAAACATTTTTTTCTAAAATGCTTAGTTTTCGAGATATTTCACCGGTCCGGGACTTTTTGAACACCTTGTATGGTGCGCCCTGTCCGTGTACGCCTTTCACTTCAGCCACACTTCAGCCGAAGTGAGAGGCGCACACGGAGAGAGCACACATACATGGGAGCCATCTCCTCTACGCGATGTCAGCGTATTGTAAATGTAACTGAATCGACATCTCTGATTGTAACGTGTCTTATGTTGATCAGACCAAGCAACAGTTGCTTACTCGAATAAAGATCGAGCTTATATGGCACGTAACAACACGCATCCATCTCCCATCACAGAGCATAGACTCCACTTTAACTATGATTTTGATTGGGACAATGTAGTAATTTTAGACGATTTAAATAATATTTATTTTCCTTTGCTTGATATAGTTCGTGACAAGCAGTCGTGATGCTATCTGAATTTTTCCTTTATTTACATCTGCTTCCTCATCATACACACATCTCACACTGTTTTTCCTTGTTCTTATAGCCGTATATTTATCTTTATTAGATACTAGTTTGAAATGTATCTTCACGAGTTATTGGTTTCTATTGTTTTGTTATACGTTGCTTTATGTTGTCATAGCAGGACTCTTGGCTGAGGAATGTCTTTCTACCATTTATTGGTGAGCGATTTACGTCTATCATTATAAGTCCCTTCAATTATATGTTCCTTTTATTCTTTTGACATTTTACTTTCTATATAGTCTGTTAACAATAAATGTGATTCGAGCACATGTCTAACACAGCGTATGACTAAAACCAGTTGACCATTTGTATTGACGATTTATGACAATTATCAACTGAAGAGGACCACATCCCATGGTTGAAATGCCTAAATTTATAATTTATAATGTATAGTAGCGTTTAATATAAAGTAGCGTAATATAAAGTAGCGTTTAACACTCGCACTTTGGCTCTTTAGTTCTTTTTGAAATTGTATTTTGATTATTTCTATTGTTCTTTAACAGATTATTTCAGAATTAAGCAGGGATTTTAATGCTATCTTTGATATGTTTAAAAATCATACATACTTAATTTTGCAACTTGTTAGGAAATATTAGAAATAACTGATTTTGCAAACTTACTCTGGTAACCAACTAACCCCAGTCTTCTCCACAGAGTATACAATAACAGATTACTCTATAGAGTAATTATTTTAACGACAATAGCTATATAAACTTGACGTCATATAAAAAAGTTTCAGTTTTGAAAGTTTTATAGTTAAAGGGGGACGTATTGATAATGTCATTATAGTTTGACCTTGTAGTGGACATGCTAAAGTCTTTTTAAACTGAATGTTTTAAATGCAATCATAAAGTTTTTTTTTACAAAACCATTCCGGGAATTATTTTGAGTATAAAAGTACAGAGGTACAAAGTAAATACTATTTGTTATATTTTACATTTTATCTTACTCCTTTTCAATATAAGATATGAAATCTCGTAAAATATTCCTTTTCAACAAGTTCACTTTAATATTAGTATTTTTGATTTTCGTGGAGTGATAAAATGCTTGGTTTGATTTCAAGTTTGTTTTCAAAAAAACAAAATTATGAAGTCGATATCAACCCGGAAGTCAGATCAAATTAACCTTAATATTTGTGTATGTACACTATGAAAGAAAAATACCTAAGAAAAATAAACAAAATATTTATTCGATGGGTATTAATAACATATTTACTTGTATTATGTATTTTTATATTGAAAAATATATATTTATTTTAAATGAAAAAATACATATTTTCTTATAATCGTTGTTTTCCAAAAGCAATTACTTATTCTATTTAAAGAAAAGAATTTAGATTTATATAAATAGATTACTAGTATACTATTAGTATAGTATTAGTATAGCACAACAAAAATAAATATTTTTTATTTTTTAGATATTTTTGTCTTATAGTATAAAATGACGATAGAAGTCGATCGATAAACTTTGTATACTGATGCATCAATAAATTTGCAAAATGTAAAACAATATTATTTAAGGTTACTTTGTTTTTCTTTACAACAACTGATTTTATTTGTCATTTTATGTACAAAAGTATTAAAATAAGGTTGTCGAGAAATAAACTCTAGTAATTGATTTGTGTTAAAAAACCAAGATATTATTTCAGAATTAAATTCAAAGTGATCTAAGAAAAATCGCATTATACTTAACACCACGAGATCAAGCGCTGTCATACATCCTCGTAGAAAAACATTAAAAATTTTATTTGAACTTACTTTTTTGTACAACATCATGTTTAGAAAATATACAGCTGTTTCCATCAAAATGTAACATCCTGTATAAATATTTTTATAAATAATGTTGCAACATAATATCACAAACAGTTGCATACACATATTGGATTATGATTACGATACACTTGTACAAATTTTCTCTCTTCAATTGAAAGATGTAAATTAAATTTTAAATACTTCTGTTTTGATATCACAGATGTTAATGTCACATGCGATTTATCAAAATATAAACACGTAAAATTTTATGATGCATTACAATGCGACATTTATCTTGAAAAAGATAGCAAGTTGTTAATATTAGAAAAAATATTTGCAGAGCTTTCTATAAAAGGTACATAAAATAAAATTTTATTGTTATATAAGATTTGCCATAAAAGTTTGCTATAAAGCTTGATATAAAGTTTGCATAAAAATTTGCTATAAGAGTTTGCTAAAAAGTACATAAAATTCAATTTTTTTGTTATATAAGATATTTTGTTAATTTTTAAAGTTCATGTTTTAAATATATTTTGTTAAAGTTATATTAAACACTACTTTTGGTAATAACTTCTAAATTTGATTATTTTCGTAATTCTGTATAATTTACACTTCAAAAACAGATACGTCTACTTTTCGGAATTCTTTGTGCTTCATCGTAGATTTTATATAAAACCTCTCTCTCTCTCTTAGTCATAATAAACTAAGCTAATGATTTGTTTGGTTCATTCGAAGTATAATTTATTTAACCACTTCGCTGGAATTGACGTACTTTTGCGTCAAATAAAGGATAAGCCAAAATTGGCATTGACGTACTAATACGCATATTATTTAATTTTTTTTCCGTTAGCAAAATTTTTATCAAACTCAATACTCAGAGGTTTTTGGGGTCACTGATTTCAAATCTGAACTCTAAATTTGAAAATTAAAAATGGCGGATTTAATATGGCGGACCAAAATGCAAAAAGTAACTTGATTTTTATGAAACCTGGTATTCGGGAGTTTTCGGGGTCGCTACTTTCGAATCTGAGATTAGTTTTGTCAAATTGAAGATGGCGGATCCAATATGGGGGACCAAATGGAAAAGTGACTTGATTTGGATGAAACTCGATACTCGGGAGTTTTTGTGGTCACTGATTTCGAATCTTAGCTCAAAATTTCGAAATTCAAAATGGTGGATTCAATATGGCGGACCAAAATGCGAAAAATGACTTGATGAAACTCGGTACTTAGGGGTTTTTATGTCGCTGATTTCAAATCTGAGATTAGTTTTGTTAACCACTTCGCTGGCAGAGGAAATCAGCATCAATTGATCTAAAAATGGCAAGATCAAAATGCTGTTTGATTTTTATAAAAGTTAGTACTAAAATACTTTTTGAGTACTAAAGTACTTTTCGCTGAATGACGAATTTGAAAGTTTAAATTGACGGATCTAATATGGCGACTAAAAATCCTTCTTTATCTAATTGACTAAACAATCTGAATGGATTTCACAGATTGACTTTTATCACCCTGATTCTCTAGATTTCATAAATGAAATATCTTGTTGGACTGTTTGACTGAACAGACTAAGTTTTCCAATAAATCGTCTAATAGTATATACTGATTAACTGACCAACTCGAAAATGCAAACATTAGTTTCATTCAAGGATGTGAACCACCGTATATCGTTACTCTCGTTCCAAAGTGGTCTTGTATTATAGCAATAACAAAATTTGAATAATATAAAACTGAAATTATTTAGGACGTAGAAAAATAAGAGTCTTTAATTTGACAAAACTAATCTCAGATTCGAAATCAGCGACCCTAAAAATCCCAAGTACCAAGTTTCACCTAAATCAAGTTACTTTTTACATTTTGGTCACCATATTGAATCCGCCATCTTGAATTTCGAAGTTTCGAGCTAAGATACGAAAGCAAAAACTCCCGAATACCAGATTTCAACAAAATCAAGTCACTTTCTATATTTTGGTCCGCTGCACATTGAATCCACCATTTTAAATTTTCAAATTTATGGTTTAGAATTGAAATCAGCGACCCCAAAAACCCTTGGATACTGAGTTTCATGAAAATCTTGCTAATGGGAAATAAATAAAATAATGTGCACTTTAGTGTGTCAAAGCCATTTTTGGTACATCCTTTATTTGACGCAAAAGTGCGTCAATGCTAGTGAAGTAATTAAATTCTAAAATTTTGATCTCAAATTCGTATTCAGCGACTCGAAAAGTGCTTTAGTACTGATTTTTATAAAAATCAAACAGCATTTTGATCTTGCCATTTTTGATCAGTTGATGCTGATTTTTTCTGCCAGCAAAGTGGTTAAAGAAGTATTCTCTTTTACTTTTACTCGTTGCATTGTAATTAAGTACAAGGGGATCAAGCAATTGCTTTACACACATACACACACACACCCGCACGCACAAACACGCACACACGCCCATACGCACGCGCGCACACACGCATACGCGTACACACACACGCATGCACGCACGCACACACACGCACACACTCTGTAACACGTTACTTTGTGTTATTAGATTTGAGTTTAAAAATTTTTTAATAATAAATGCTATGATATGAATATTTATTATTAAAGATGTACTATACTAATCCTCTAATCTAAATAATCTTTTGCATGCATATATTATATACGATGAACGGAAACAAGCAGATCGTTTATATTACTCTAAAATGAAAATCACTTCTAACTTTCCCTGGTAGAAATCTGTGCAGTTTTACTGTACAGATTAACTATGCAGTTTTATTATATAATTTTGAGATTAATAAAAGTCGTAATATAGTCGTGGACATAAAAGTTGTTTAATTTTTTGTAATAAGTTTCAGAATATAACTAAATGGTTCAATAAGAAACGGATTTCTTAAGAACTATTCTTTCATTAAATCATTTTTAGATTACATTGCCAAACTTACTACAAAAAGTCGGACAACCTTTATGTATCGAAGCTTACGTAAAAAAGAAATTTTTAATATATATCCCATTTCTATTAATTAAAAGTTAATTTCACAGACTGAACATGAGTTTTTGTATATGTAAAAAATTACATGAGTCAAGAAAGGTGAATAACGTTACATACTATTCAAAGTTTTGAAAGCTTTGTTTTTTTAAAAAGAATAGTTTACTCTCGCATTATCAGTCTTTAATAATACTTCTTAACATTTTTTATTCGCAAATTTGAATTCAATTTTCTTTTAGCGAGAAAATTTTATAGAGCATTACTCTTTTTAGCTTTGATGTATTGTGTGTTTTCGTTATTAGTTGTTAAAATGTAAACCTTTTCAATTTCGAATTGTGTGTGTTTGTTCGTGTCTGAATTAAACAATGAATGAGAGTTTTTGATCTATTTTCCCAGCCTCATTATCAATTATTAAGAATATTATTTAACATT